GGGGCGGGGCTACAGGTGGAGCTGCGGGGGCGCGGGGGCGTGGTCGGGGCGGGACGCGGGACTGCGGACCGGCCCGGACGCGAGCCGCGGGCACTTTGGTGTCTAGACGGCGGCGGCCGCCGCCCGCGCTGCCCAGCCTGGACCTCGCGGCGTCCCTGCGCCCGCGGCCCCCTGGCCGCCTGCCCCGGAGCCCTTGCCGGCCATGCCGCCGCCCGCACCGCCCACCGAACTCCTGCCGTCGGAGCGCGCCGTGGTGCTGCTGTCGTGCGCGCTATCGGCGCTGGGCTCGGGCCTGTTGGTGGCCACGCACGCCCTCTGGCCCGACCTGCGCAGCCGGGCGCGGCGTCTGCTGCTCTTTCTGTCGCTGGCCGACTTGCTCTCGGCCGCCTCCTACTTCTACGGGGTGCTGCAGGACTTCTCGGGCCCCTCGTGGGACTGCGTGCTGCAAGGAGCGGTCTCCACCTTCGCCAACACGAGCTCCTTCTTCTGGACGGTGGCCATCGCCCTCTACCTATACCTCAGCATCGTCCACGCCGCGCGGGGGCCGCGGACCGACCGCCTACTCTGGGCCTTCCACGCTGTCAGGTGCGTGTGGCATTGCTGCTTCCCGCGGGCCCCCCACTCAGTCCCACCTTCCGCCCGGTCCTGCCTGCTTTCCTTCGCGCCCCCTCCCGCAGGCCGCGGCTTGGTCAGGCGCCCAGTGGACAATTGTGCCCCTCAGCATCCCTGGGCCCACCGGAGGGTGCCCAGGTTGCAGGAGCTGTAGATCAAGCTGAGCATCCCTGCAGAGGGCGTCCCTTGTGCCTGCCCCAGCTGGAGCCTCTTAGCAAGATGGGGAACGGGAACAGATCTCACCCTCAGGGCCCAGCTCTGATCACTTAATAGGCTCTGGTGCAACGCTTTGTGCACTTGACTCCTGCTTCACTGTGTTCTGGCCTTTCTTGCTGCCCACGGGGAAACGCTCTCCATCCCCAGGATGGGAAATGAGTTAGAGGGCTGTGGTGCTCGGAGCCAGGCAACTGCCACCTCCATGTTATAGTGGGTGTGGTGCATTCAGCCTCTCCCAGGCCACAGTGTCCCAGCTGTAAAACTTGCAGAGGGACCGACCATCTTTTCATCTTTGTCTTTGGTCATTTCTGAACTTCAGGGCCCAGCCGCCATTCTAGGTGATCTTGGCTTTCCAGAATTCAGGAGCTCTAAGACAGGTCAATAACAACCCATGGAGTGTAAGAAAGCTGAGCGCTGCCTGCAGTCTCTAAGAACAAGGAAACCCAAGGCCTTGTCCTGTGATGCCCTAGCCTTCAAGCATCTCAGCAAGAAAGCCCTACCCAAAGAAGGTCCATCCTTCCTGGTGAGGTTTCAGGGTTCGGATTTCTCGTGGTGTCCTGTGCTGAAGCAAAGGCAGGAATCCTAGGGTTGGTTTTCTCTTCTCCTTCCCCCAGATCAGAGCACCAAAGACTGTCCTAATTATAGAATCCTTTCTATTAAAAACTTGAGTGTTTTCCAAGGACTAAGAGGATAGTCAGCACTTTGGTAGAGACAGGTCACCTGGGTGTCACACGCTGAGGCAGCCAGCTGGGAAGAGTCACTTGACCTCTAGCTCTAGTAGCTGCTGGATGAAGGCCAGTTGGTCCCTGAGAAACTAAGGGTCCTGCTTCTCAGCTGTTCAAATCAAAACCTTCGCACTGTGTCACTCAAAAAGTGGCTCAGATGCAGGGACCCAGAGAGGGGGGCAACCATTTCTCCTACCCCTTGCAGTGTGTCACCTGAGGCTAACTGTCAGATACCAGCCATCCTTGATGGCAGCTTGGGTTGAGGTGGGCAGTGTGAACACTGTAGTTCCCAGGTACTAAAGAAGTATCTAAGACCGGACCTTTCTTTGCAAGAATCTCTTCTCTTCCCAGCTTCTTCTTTTTTTTTTTTTCCAAAATATTTAATACGTTACTTTTTTTAAAGTGATAATCAGGCTCGGTGTGGTGGTGCATACTTGTAATCGCAGCTGTTCAGAGGATTACAAGTTCAGGGCCAGTCTGGGCAACTTAGCAAGAGCCTTTCTCAACATAAAATAAGAAAGCTGGGGGGGGGGCACTCAATGGTAAGGTGCCCCTGGGTTCAATTCCCAGTTCCAATAAATGAATAAGTAAAGTGATACCCAGAACCTGGTGCAGCTCCTATAGAAGATGATTTCCTAACAGATCTGAGGTGGGAGTTCTTTCCGTACATTTCTCATCAGGGACCCTATGGCAGGTTTTTTGGGTTTTTTTTTGTTTTTTTTTTTTTTGTTTTTTTTTTTTTTGTGATGCTAGGGAAGCCTTCCTTCTAGGGAAAGCTGTGTTTAAGGAATTGTTCTAACCTGTCCAACAGGTTATTTATTGACCCAGATCCTCCCAGACTTATTGAGCTTGCTCAGGACTATCCCATATTTTTCTTTGGAGAATTAATTTCTTGTTGCTGAAGGACCTAGTGATGTGATAAAGCTCATCTTTAGGCACAGATTACCTGATCATCCACTTTTGACCATTTCAGTCTTGGAAACTGTTTTAAAATATGACAATATGGAAGGTGAATATCTGAAGAATTTTAGATTTTATATATATATATATATTTTTGTTGTTGTTGTTGTTGTTTTATTTGTGCTAGTGGGGCTTGGATCCAGGGTGTTCTACCATTGAGCTATATCTCCAGCCCTTTTTTATTTTTTATTTTGAGACAGAGTCTCCCTAAGTTGCCCAAGCTGTCCTTGAATTTGCAATCCTCCTGCCTCAGCCTCCCAAGTCACTGAGATTTATAGGTGTATGTCACCATATCCAGCTAAGAATTGATTTTTTTAAAACCCACCAATGTCCTGAAAAAGGAACAAAGGATACATTCAGGCAAAATAGTAAAAGCATCTGATAAATGTATATGGAAAACAAATTTAATCCCATTAATAGCCAAAACAACAATGAGGTACCATTCATCAATTAAGTTAGATGAAAAAATAATAAGGTAGAATACTAATATGACAAATGACAGTGAAACTGGCATTTTCCTACATTAGTACTGGCATTGTAAATTGAAGTAATCCTTGTAGAAAGTATTTGGTTCATACCCCTGATCCAGTAATCCTATTTCCAGGATCTAGTCTGAGAAGACCATCCAAAATACATACTAAGCTCAAGGTTCAAGGGAGCTTGTGAGGTACTGTTGTCATAGTGAGAATTTAGAAGCAACCTCAGTGCCCAATAATAGGGGAACAATAAGTGATAGACTATCCTTCCCTTTCGAAATGCCATGTCACTGAGGAGTACTGGTTGCAAACTCTCCAGGTTGTATTTTTTAAATGGATGATAAAAAGAGAAGTGAAAAAAAAAGCCATCTCTAAAGCTGATTATAGCCGTGGAAACACAGAGGGTCCCAGAGAATCCCGCACACTCACGAGCTCCCAGGAAAGCACCTGTGTGGCCCCTGGTGAGCCATGATGACACCTAACATGGTTCCATTTACAGACTTTTTTTCTCCTCCTTAGAAAAGGAGAATAGCTTAGACTTCATCCTCAGGGAAAGAGTCTTTCATCATGAGCTGCTTGTGGTTCCTCATGCTTGGTAAAGTGCTGTCCTATTCATTAGCTCATAGAGCACAGGTAACCCAGCCAGATGGACAGGGTGAGCACCCTCCGTTCATAGCAGACAAGATGGCCCAAGACCACGCACTTGGGAGGCTTAGGAGTAGAACCTGGTTATGACCCACTCCACGGTCCATGCTCTTGTGATTGTGTCTTGACCTCTAGTTTTTGAAATCTGAGATAGAATTTCAGCCATAGGGCTGGGGGTGTAGCCCAGCAGTAGAGCACTTGCCTGCCTAGTGTACATGTGGTCCTGGGTCCCATCCCCAGCCCACACACGCAGGTGTGCCCACAAATAATAATTTCAACAATTATTTATTCTTATTTCCCACATATTAATATTTTATCATGTTAGCTTCTTCCTCTCCAGTTACTTTTTCCAGAACCACTTAAGAGTCACAGCCAAGGTACCCCCTCAACCCAGAATACCTCAGTGTGTACTGCCGGAAGGCAGCAGTCTCTTACAGAAACGTGCACTTACCCAAACCACGAATTTGCCAGGTGTGGTGGCTCACACCTATAATTCCAGCAACCTGGGAGGCTGAGGCAGGGGGATTGCAAGTTCAGAGCCAGCTTCAGCAATTTAGTGAGACCCTGTCTCAAAATAAAAGATATAAAGGGCTAGGAAGGTGACTCAGTGGTTAAGCATCTCTGGGTTCCATCGCTGATACAAAAAAAAAAAAAAAAAAGGCAGGAAATTAGCAGGAGGAACACTGTTTATTGAGATATTTGTCCATTGCCTAACAGCATCCTTGAGAGCAAAAGAAAATCCCTCGGACCTTGACTTTCCGTGCCTCTTTACTCCCCTTCAGTTCTTCCATCTGTTACAACACTGACATCTTGAAGAGTGCGGGGAGATACCCGTTTCGCCAGCATTTTTCCTAAATGTTCTGCCGTACGTACTTCATAGAACGTTCCTGGGTTTGTCTGAAGCTTCCTCCTGATGGCCTTCAGGTCTGCACTTGGGTCCCTGAAGCCCATCCCCCCACCCCGGGGTGACTCTGGTGGGTTCCCTTCGTGGTGATGTGGCTCTGATTGCTCGGCCAAGGTGGTATCTGCAGCCTCCTTGCTGCAGAGTTGCTGCTTTTCTTTCTTAATTACGGTTTTGCTTTCGTGATTGTGTGTCACCTGAGGGAGGGGCTGGGGCTGCAGAGAAGGGAACATTCGCCTTCCTTCTGTACGACCGGTGAGGTAAGCCTTCAACTGTCCCCCCTGCAGCCCTCGGCAGCTCCTGCTTCCCCAAGGTCGAGGCTCCTTTGGTGACACAAAGTGGGGTCAGGTCAGTGGAGCCAGGTGACAGCCCTCGTCCTATCTGCTTGCCGGTGGCTGGGTTGGGGAGGTTCATCTCGCAGGATCAGGGTGCAGTCTGGGCCGGGCGTCTCCAGCAGTCTCCGAGTTTCTCAGGCTCTGCTGAGGCGAGAGTGGGCGAGCAGGACCGGCCAGTGCCCTGCACCCAGCCTCTGGAGCTTTCTTGGAGTCACTGCGGGAGAAGGAGTCTGGCACCCCAAACCAACCCTAAAAACCCTGCTCTGCAGGGAGTGGGAAGTCCCAACCCGGCAAAAAGGGGAAACAGGGCCCTGAGAGGGAGGCCCTGAGTTCTGTAATTGGAAAGGAGCTCGCGGTGCAGCAGAAGTGGCGGCCTTGGGCAGAGCTGAGTCTCAGGTCGTCCCTGCTGTTATCTGCACGGCTGTCCCCTCCACAACTCATGTTGACATTTCATCGCCTCTGTAGCAGAATTAAGAAGGGGACCTTTGAGAGCTGGTGTGCTGGGGCTCTGTGGGTTTGCAGAGTTGTGCTGCTACTGGAAGAGAGGGTAGTTTGGTCCCCACTCTTTCTCTCTCTCCAGATGCCCCTCAACCTTCCTCCATGGGGTGATCCTTACCAGATGCTGGCACCCGCCTCTTGCACTGCCCGATGTCTAGACCTTGAGCCAAATAAGCTTCTGTTGTTTGTGACTTGCCCAGCCTGAGGCACTCTGTTA